ATAGTAAATATGACTCAGAAAATATCCCCAATATTAACATGCTTTCCACTTACTAAATATTTCCCCTTCATTTCCTCACCGTCTCTATTAATACTTAGCATTTATAGTTGTACCATAACACTCACATCTGATTCACTTTAATATCACTCTAGTTGAAAGCAAATTTTTACTCTCTTTCATTTGAGATTACTTAGTACTATTTATTTAATTCGTTTGTTGAAATAATCACTTCCTCTGTTTATTCTCATTCCACATGTAGCCTACAGGTCAGGAAGAGTAGGGATTAGGACAATGGTTAAATTGTTTTCTACCTATTTCCATTATCTTTCTGAATTAAAACTTTAGAATGTGACTTTGTAACTTTATTTTAGCAGCTAAAATTTTGCAAAACACCAGAACATATTAATATTTAAATATCAATCTAAAACTCATACTTTAATAAAATTTTAATTAGGTTTTTAATTCATGTCTAAAGTTACACATCAAATGAATTTTGGATTATAAAATGTTTTAAATTTATTTAATTAATATCGATGACAAGGTACATTGCTATTTATCAACTTGATGCTTACAAGTAGATTTAAAATGACCTACTTTCATTATTTCTTCCAAGAGCCTTTCCCAATCCTTGCTGCACTAGGGTGTTTAGCAGCATTCATGAAATACCAGCAGTACCCATCTCCCCACCCCACCCTACCCCACCCACCCCCAGCGGTGATAATCAAAGCATCTTTGGCATTGCCAAATGCTTTCTGGGGGTTGAAGGGCTGGGGTGGAACTGTCCCTGGTTGAGAACCAATGCTCGAGAGCCCTAATTTTCCTCTACCTAATGTTCACTGACAATTAATTATTTTCTCTTATAGGATACAAATGCATCTTTTATAGGATACATAATTAGCAAATTATGATGTTTAAGTCTCAGTCAGAAAAAAAGTCTTGTCTCCTTGCTTCTATTCTTGCTCCTCTGTATTCTTCTATATTAATTCCCTCATTCATTCCCTCATTCATTTAACAATGTTTACTGACCAGCGACTGTACGCCATACATGATTCTAGGTGCTAGGTATGCTGCTCATCAAAACTATTAAAGTCATTGTTCCCTTAGAGCTTACATGACCACCTTAACTAAACATCTGTGTCCTCCCCCACCCCCCTATTTATAATCAAGTTGTTCCCTTTCATTGTTCACTTTATCACTCTCTGAAATTATTTTCATTAGCTATTTATTTACTCGTTCATTGTTATGTCTCCCTCACTAAAATGTCAGCTCCTTAGCAGCAGGCACTTCTACTGTGGCTCGCCCACCCACAAGAGGGAGCCAGAGCAGGGCTAAATAAGAATTTATTAAATGAATAAACAAAGACAAGTTGTACATGTTGAACAAAGAATAAAAACAAGAAAAGCTAATAAAATTCTATGGGAGTCTCCTTTGGATCAAAAATTTTGCTCATCAGCTGTTTAATGGATCTACTAGAGAAAATCTGTCCGCTGACAAGGCCTCAGACTAGGCGAGAAGGTCACCTCTGATACCACTATGGCCTGTCGTTTCCGCTGGCAGAGAGGGGCTCACAGGTGGGCGGGTAAGCCGGCAACCTCTGCCCCCTCGTCGGGGACAGAGTGTGTCGGTGAGCTGCACGCAAACCCCTGTGCGGGCCTGAGTCCAGCTTGGTAGTGCTGGTGGTAGAGGTATCCCTGAGATTTCAAAGTAACCCTATCTGTGGCCGTGGTTGAAAATCTTGGGTGGGTAATATAAAAATGTCGCCTTGAGTGAAAAATAAAAAGACAGCAGACCAACAGGTCTTTGTCTCATCTTGTTCTGCAGCTTCGGACTTATTGCCCAAAGAAGCGAGTCCTCCCTGATTCTGGTAAGGTTCCAAAATAACTGGAAGGAAGAAATGTTTCTGAAAATTAAGTTTATGAACCAGTGTGGATTTACTCTATTAACATGAACTATTTTTATTCTCGATGAAAATCTTTCTAGAACCTATTATATATAATCCTTTACTTTTCCAATATGTTAAGCACTTTCTTTTCTTTTAAAAGACACTATAGCGAACTCAGTAACATTTTCTGAGGCAGTAGGGCCTGGTGATTAAGAATATTGCTTCTGATGTCAAAGGGCTTGGGTTTAGAGCCTGGCTTTGCCACTCACCAACTGGGCAAGTTAACACCCTGCCTCGGCATCTTTATCTATAAACAGGGAAAATATTAGTACCTGCCTCGAAAGGTTCTTGTAAGGATCAAATGAATTGATACATGTAATGTACTTAGAACATTGCATGGTACACAGTATTGCTTGGAAAATGTTAACTGCTGCTGTTGAAACTACTATTACTATTATTATTATAGCGATATTTTTTCTTGGTGCCTTATGTTCATAAAAGTCTTAAATTATTATAATATGTTACAACCCAGCGATAGCTTTTTAAAGACATGGGGTTACTAGCTTTTACATAAAATAGCCCTGGACTGACTTGATGGAGTGCTCTTGTATGCCATTTTATAGTTTTTCTATTTTTCTTTGTAGGTCTTCTACTGTTTGTCATTTTCTTATCTCTATCAGCCTCTTTCCATGCTTCTAGTTTTACAGAGGGAATAAGAACTAATAAACCAAGTTTGCTAGACATGTGCATTAGTAAAAGCTAGCATGTGTTTTAAATTAAAGTGGAAAAGCTCCCCTGTGAATAGAGAGAAGGAACTTGACTCCACAGACATCTCTTCTGGCTCATCAAAGCTATTTTATTTTTTCTTATTTCCTGACTCATAGATAATATAAAAAGTGATCTGAAAATTAAATTAGTTTTGTAAGGTGATAGATATAACTAAGGTTATATGTAAATGTTAAAATTAAAAAGTTTCTAAGTAGTTCAAATAAATACTCCTTAAACTCTCACTATAGGTAGATACTGGGGGAACAAAAACGAATGATATGGTCCAGAAACTTGCAATCTGGAGGGGGAAATAAAGCAAAAACAATGTTAAGGGAATACACTAAAAGATACCAAAGACTTTCATACTGGGCACTGTGAGAGTCCAGAGAAAGGGCCCTTAAGGAACCTGGGGAAGCAGGCAAAGCTTCCTGCTTCCGGCAGTGCCGAAGTGAGCCCTGACGGCCAGCTGAGGAAAGGGCGCATGGGCTATTCGAAGCATGAAAACGGAGAGGTAACGAGGTAGGAAGCAGCATAACGCTCTAGTGAGAATAAGTAGGGCCGTGTGTGTGTGTGTGTGTGTGTGTGCGCGCGTGCATGTGCGTGCGTGCAATTAACAGTTTGATGTGATTTAAAAATAAAAGTGAGATGGGAAATGGTGAAACCTCAGTGAAGCCAGGAGTGAGGCTGAATAGAGGCCAGAGTCAAGAGATGTCCTCATGTGCTGTGCCGAAAGGCTTGGCCATTACTTGTAAAGATGGGGGCCAATAAGAAAGCTTTAAGAAGAAAAACGATCATTTTCATATTTTCCCTTTAAATTCATCACTCAGACAGCATTTCGAAAGACAGAGCAAAAGTAGAAAAGACTAGAAGAGGAGAGACCAGTTAGGTGTCTGTTGCAATGAACAAGGTAGAGATAGTAAAGCCTTAATGAGGACAAGGCAGCAGGTATGGTGAGGAATAGAGAGGTCCTGCCCGTATTTTGAAGATAAAATTGGACGGTTCTGGCGCATTCTTAGATGAGGGTGGTCTAAGACTGAGAGGAGTCAAGGACGTGCCAGGTTTTAGACCTCGAATCACTGGTTAGATGAGAGTGTAATTAACTGAGAGAGAAATAGCACAGTTTTTTGTTTTGTTTTGAAATTTAATTTTGTTTTTGTTTTTCTCTTTTGACTAGTGGACATAAGAAGATGAATTAATGAGTTCAGGTTGAGACATGTTAAGTTTGAGTTGATTATTATAGAGGTCAGAATCGAAGATGTAAATTTTAGATTAAATAATAAAGAGAGTCGAGAGTGAAGCTAAAAAGTCCCAGGAAAATGTGTGGAAAGAAGAGCAGCAGAGCCAGGAGGATGGCCTGCGAGAGAACCTGGGATGCCACGCTGGCAGGGGCAAGGAGGGGAGAGCGCCCTGAAAGTCCACTATGAGTTTTAGATGGAGTGGTCAACAAAGAAGCTAAACACACTTGTTACGGCTGCATTTTTTGAGCACTCATGACACACTACACACTGTGCTGTTTTATGCATTGTATCCCACTTAATCTATTATCTATATGCTATAGATCAGCAGTTCCTAACCTTTTTGCTCACTTCACACCAGGTACTGTGCTGTTTTATACACTGTATCTCGTTTAATCTATTATCCATATGCTATAGATGACAAATCTGAAGTTCAGCAAAGTCATATAACTTACCCAAGGTCATAGGGTGAGCTGGCAGAACTGGGATCTGAACCCAGGACTGCTGGATTACAAAGCCCATGTTCTTACTCTGCTGGAGTAAAAGAACTTCTTCAGGATGCAACTTAATATTATCTAAGGACTGCTATACATTGCTTCCCAAGAAGCGCATCTTAAAAGTATCTAATAATCTCAAAGGAATATTCAATATTTAATAAGCTCATTATACATCTGATCACTTTGCATAATGAAAATAGATTACTTCGGTGATATATTTCTTCATCATCTTTTTATTTCATAAATACTACAGTTGTCAAATTATTAGAACAACAAATTGTAACAGAAGGCAATCTACTCATTAGAGCACTGCTCTAAAAAGGCCAAAAGGAAGCTCCTGGGTGGACCAGAAAACTAAGTGCCCTGGACTTGGACACATGTCTACTTAGTGTTCTCACAAATATTACTATTGATCTCAAGGAAAACCAGAGAGGATACGCACAGTTTAGCACAAGCCTACCACAAACATCAAAAAGTTCATTAAAATCGGTATTCTACGGAAGGTTTATTTTAGACAATAAATTATTACACATTTAAAGATAGAGAATAAGTCATTCCTATTATAAAAGTTGTAATTTTCCTATTTCCCACTAGAGGAAGCAATAGCATTACTCTTACCATTTGGTGGATAAAAGACAGCATATTCTTCTATTCCTAGTTTTCCTATAAGAGAAAGCCATAGAGGGTTTCAGCATGATTAAATAAAAGAAACAAAATTTTAAAAATTAACTAATTCTGTGAAGGTACTGATAATGAAATTTTAAAAACGACAATAGTAAAATCTCATTTTACCTTATGCTATGGAATTAATTTGAAAATATGCACACATTTTTCCGATATTAAATTCTTCCATCAATTAAAGTCAATAATATAAGCTAAAGGACAAAGTAAGTGACATAAAGTAATTTTAAAAACCAAATGCTTTCAAGCTTTTTAAGCACCTAAGAGAAGCATCTATTTATAAGCAAAGAATTGTATTGCAAATTATAAGCAATTCTAATATATTCACTAAAGAAAGTCCTAAGCGTTGCAATGCCGCATTAGTTTACGTTTTTATAGAATGTGCTGAAAAGTTAAAAATTAAACGTCTTTAAGTATATGGTGGTAATATTTTCAAAATCTCAAAACAGTTCATAATGTTCAAGATTGAGACTAAATATTTAAAATCAGAATTCTCTCAGAAAATTAAAGTATATTCATCACATTAAAATGTTTAAAAGAGTTTAAAAAATAGCTTTTCCTCAAAACTTTTAACATTCTGAGTTTTTTCCCACTTTCCTGAATATCTTTAGGTAAGTTTTATCTTGATAGTTTTTCTAACACCTTTGAGTCTATTGAAAATTCACATGCAATCTTGAGCTTTAAGGTAATATTTTTCATTAAAAAAATAATTTTTTTGTTGTTGTTCTCATTGGGGGTGGTGGCAGAGAGGAAATGAAGAATAAGAACCATGACCAGTTTAGGTTAAGGTGGAGACAACAGGGCTGATTTTGTGTGCAAGGAGAGAATTAAATAATGAAAAATAGATTACAGACAGACGATATAGATAGATGATAGATAGATAGATAGATAGATAGATAGATAGATAGATAGATAGATAGATAGATGGATGGATAGATACATAGATACATAGATACATAGATTATAGAGAGTACCTGGTGGTGTGTACTTGATACTGGGCTAGATGCCACGAGGCAAACAGAAAAATATAGAGAGTACCTGGTAGTGTGTACTCGATACTGGGCTAGATGCCACGAGGCAAACAGAAAAAGACTAGGTAGGTCTCTCAACTCTGTGGTTTATAATCCAGACTAAAAAACATGAAACATTTAGGAAATGTTTGCTAAATTTTCTGGCACAGGCTTTAAGTATTTTTGAGGTTTAAAGGAGTGAGAAATTGATAATGGATTGATGGACTTGGTGAGATACAGACTAGTTCTTCAAGGACTTATAATTTGTGGGGAGAAGTAGAAATCCTTCCATATTGGAGTACACATGGAGGCTAGATTTTGGGAAATGTGGAATAATCAAGAAAGCAAAGTTAACTAGGTTAAGACAGGAGCAACTGATGGAAACCTTAAAACCTTGGCTGAGTTTAGAGGTGATTCCATTAGACAATTAAGTTGTATAATCAGGTTTTTTGTAGATGATGTTAAAGAAACAAATAAGCAAACAAAAGGCTTCTGTAAGTTCAATTCAGAGAGAGCCCCTAAGTTGGGGAACTTGATCCCAGCACAAAGTGATATGGGCTTGTCCTAGGTAGGGCAGGGGTTGGAGCACTCAGACAGAGTCAGACTTAGGACACACAGGAGAAATCATTTCTTTATGGGAACAGCAGAGGGACCAGACACAATAGTTTTAGTGCTGGGTGTTCACCACTAATAAAAAGGATAAGCTGGGAAAGGGTCCCAGGTGAAATTAGTTCAGTTGTCAGGATATTGAAATAGTGCTATCTTGTAGGCACTATTAGTGATAGAGAAGAAAGCACTGAAAAGCACTAAAAAGCAATTAGAGCTCTATTAGCATGTAAATTGTATCAGTTTTAAGTGTTGTAGAACATTTTGGGAGAAGGAATACAGAAGGTTAAAAAATGTAGAAAAAGAAAATTTATGAGGTGAACTCATAGAAGGAAAAACAAAAGTCAATAGATATGACATAAACAGCAACAGAGAGAGCAAACAGAGAAGATAAAGACTAAAAGCTGCTGCTGGGAACCCCTGCCATGTGATCCGGGGTGAGGCGGATGGGCACGGATTTATGTGGGAGTAAAAGGACAGTGATAATCATCTGAGAGAAACCTTATTTAATAATTTACAACAAAAAAATTGACAACACCAATCTATGCTATTAAACAGTCTTGGTCCAATAATATACATGTTAAAGATTACTTTCTTTATGTTACTAAAATTTTACCTCTTATGTATGATTTCGGTGGTGAAGCACTGTTGTACGCAAAGTGACCCAACACAGATGTATCCCGGGAAAAACAAAGTAAAACCTGGGTGGAACATTGGGGAAAAAAACAAAAACTTAAGCACTGTTTAATGGATTGCTATTTCCTGCTTGGGAGGTGTTGAGGTAGAATCTTTCATGTTCAGTACAGTGCCTGGCAATGGGAAGGATGCCCTCTATTGGTACACCTGTGGTGTTACAGTGATGCCTCGTGTGATGGTCAAAGTTCATCCAAAGATTTCTTACTGTTACCCACTTAAACAACAGCAGAACATGCAAGTTGCTAACTACCAGATGATTCTTTTATTTCATTGTGTAGCTGGAAAGGAGAAATATCTGGGAAAATTTTAACAGATGAGAAATATATGGGGAGACCTAGAAAACTACAGTGGCATAGAGCAATTTGGGAAGTGCAGGATTCTGGAACTAGACTCATTGCTGGGATGCAGCAGCAGGCAACTGGGCATGTCAGGGCGGGAGGGAAGGCAACTCATGTTATTAGAAGGGATGGCAGCAGAAGCAGAACAAGTGGCAGCCCAGTACAGGTTAGAACCTGGTTGTCCTGATCAGCAGCAGGTAGAGTGTGGCAACTCTATCTGAAGGTGAAAATAGGTAGGGTAGAAAATCAGAATCAAGGATGTGCATTAGGAGGAACTGGACTGTTGACACTAGCTGGAATTTTGAGGTAAAAGGCCAATCCCCAGGATGGCAACTAGTGACAGGAAATCCGGGGCCTGGTATTAGAAGAGTTGGGATTCAAAATGTGTTGCTAAGAAAAGAATTTGGGAATCACTGGAAAAGGCAGAAGCCCAGTTAACAGAATAGGGATACAAAGTCAGGGCTGGACTAGCAGCACAGTGAATGGAAAGAGAAACTGCTGGTCCAAGACACAAGAAAGGCCAGATTTAGAAAAAGGGTAGATATGGAGATGGGCATCAGTCAAGCCCAAGGGTGAAATGTGTACCAACCATTGCCACTGATTTATTTTTATTATATTTTAAAATACTATACAAGCAATACATGTTTATGATAACATTAGATACATAGGTCACCGAAATAGGAGGAAAAATACCCATAATCTCACCAGTGTTAATATTTTTATGTATATCCTTTCAGACTAGCCTAATACACACATAATTTTTTTAAACAAGATTACACATATTGTTTTGTAATCTATGTCTCTCAATATTATAAAATAAATATTTCCTACCTACATTTTTAATGTTGCAGAATATTCTACTGTATAGATGAATAATAGTTTATTTAACCTGTCTTTTTTTGTTGATCATTTAATTATTTCCACTTTTCTCAAACTATAAACAATGTTGCAGTGAACTTCCTTATAGCTAAATATTTACATACATCTTTACTTAAATTTCTAAAACTGTACTAGATGTCTTGTTAAACTATGAGCATTTTAAATATACTATTTAGAAACTCCTCCCTATATTTTATATACTTTGGACAATAAATTAACCTGTAGGTTGTCATTAAGTACTGGAACCCAAAAATGGTACTCACACTATCCAATTTACTTCCATGAAATAAGGTGCATCTTCTGTCTGAACACATTTTAAAACTCTAACATAATTTAAGACTTACAACACCACTAAGTATTTTTAAGAATTTCATGCAAGATAAACCTAAACTTTGGAAATGATAAAAGGTTGACTTATTACTCAAAACATTATTTCTATAAAATTCAGTGTTGTTGTCTATAAAATTTAGGTAACAACTACCACGAGTCTCTCAGGAGCAGGGTCTGTGTATCCTTGCAACATAGGCCCAGATTTTCCTTAAAGAGGGATTGCTGTAGTTTTTCTCATCTATATATGGACACAGCAATGCCACGTGCCATCTAATTTTGTAGTCTAGTCACAAAATCCACTAAATGGGTTGGACTCAGAGCATAGCCAGAAACATTAAATTCACTCCATTATCACCAACAATTATACCATAGAGCACTTGTGTTGCTAGGCAGCTCTGCCAAAGGAAAGCCTGTAATTAATGATAAAAAGAGCTTTCTTCTGTCTTATCTCTCTCGCTCTCTCTCTCTCTCTCTCTCTCTCTCTCTTTCTCACACACACACATACACGCACACACACACACAAATAAATTTTCCCTAGAGAAAAATCAGAACTCGATTTCTGATAAAATATTTTCAGTGTATACAATTACATATTTAATTTTCCCCAGAGAAAAATCAGAACTCGATTTGATAAAATATTTTCAGTGTATACAATTACATATTTTTCTGATAATAAAATATTGTTTTCAATGCATACAACTACATATTTTTATTACTTAAAATGAACTTTTTTCTAATTTAGATAAACCATTAAAAGGTATGATCATGGAAAGTGTTTTCTTAGTAATTATCCACAAGAGGAAAATTTAGTTCTACATAATTCTCAAAGACAGAACTTAGGTATTGTAAGTATCCTTTCATGTATGTTATAGGGATAAAGATCCATATTAAAGCTTATTTAGTGTCATTTCCAAAGTACTAAAAGCAGCAGACGACAGCAGAGATCTATGACTGAAAAAACTATATGAAATCTAAAATTAATACAAGAATAAAATATTGATGAAATGGAAAATAAAGGTTAAAGCACACTCCTATAGTACTTACTGTCTGTGACAATTTAATATCCAATGCTTTATACAAATACTTTAAAATAATTTCAAAACATTTTTAATGTTCATGTCCTGTCTTCCTGGTATCATGTCCTGGTATCATTTACATATAATATAAGGTTCGACAAATATTTACTGATGATCATTCTGCTTTTTCTCATCATTTGTAAATAATTCCATTTTTCAGACTCAGTCACTTTTAAGTTTTCGAAGTTAGTGTGGGACAGGCAAAAATGAATATACCCTCAACAGTTAATTCTGGCACTATTTGGAGAAGATGTTACTGCTCTCATTTACAATGATATCATTACTGACTGTTAATCAAATGAGGCAGATTTGTTACCTGGAGAGTCCCTTTTACCACCACCAAAAAGCCTTTGTAATTATAACTTAAAACTGACAACCCTTTCTCCAGTCACCACGATGAGGTGAAATTGTCAAATTTACACTTTCTGTACTCACATGCTGAAGTAGAATAGGCAGCACACTATAAATCATGCATTATGGCCTTTGGTTGATGTTATAATTTATATATTCATATTCCTAGTGTTATAACAGTTAAGCATTCAGGATCAAAATAGTTAGCATAAGAAGAACTAAAAATTTAACAAGTTACTTTTTGACAAGTAGCAGATATTTAGTTTGATTTTATTTGTTTTATTTCTTTAATATTATGCAACATTAACTGATCTGTTTCCATTAGGAGTCAGTTCACATAAAGTATCTATCAAATCTGGAAGTAAACTCTAACTGAAGGAAATCTACAGCTCCACATAACAACAGGAAAACCTTAGTCAGCCAATAACTACTAATATCAAGCTTTCAAATAAAAGAAGAAATCTTCCTTGTCAATGGTAAAAAAAATAAAACTGTATCAATTTTAAAAAGTATATGATGTTAAGAAAGATATTCAGGATCTACAGCATCATGTGCCAGAAGAAACACAGAGGATCTTATGGAATTAATATGCGAGAAACAATTATAAAATAATTAAATGAGTTATAATAAGTAAATAAAAAGCATGAAAAGCATTACATGGTACTTTAAACACACATTTTAAATGGCCATGATCTTGTTGTGTGTGTCTGTATTGGCAAGTAGGGAGTAGATCAGGAAAGGTATATAAGAATAAATGATATTTCAGCCGAGAACTAAAAGAAAAACAGTAATTGACTAGGAGAAGAGGGGAGAAGTGGACGATGAGGCTGGAGAGGTGGGCCAGGTCATGCAGTGTCATGTACACTCCATGAAGGATTTTGGTCTTTTTGGTTTTAATCACACACGTGACATGAATTGATTCATATTTTAAAAAGATCACTCAGGCAAGAAAAAGAAATTAAAGGTATTCAAATAGGAAAGAAAATTGTCTTTATCTGCAGGTGATATAATCTTATATACAGAAAATCCTAAAGACTATCAAAAATATGCTAGAACTAATCAATGAATTTAGTAAAGTTGCAGGATACGAAATCAACATACAGAACAGTTGTGCTTCTATACATTAACAACAAAATATCTGATAAATAAGAAAGAAAACAATCCCATTGACAATAACATAAAAAAAAATGCTAAAGAATAAATTTAACCAAGGAGGTGAAAGACCTATATCTGAAAACTACAAGACTCTGATGAAAAAAACTGAAGAAGACACAAACAAATGAAAAGATATTTCATATCTACATATCAGAAGAACTAGCATGGTTAAAAGGTCTATTAGACCCAAAGCCATATATAGATTCAATGTGATCCCAATCAAAATCAAAAGGGCATTTTTCACAGAAAGAGAAAAACCAATCCTAAAATTTGTATAGAGCCACAAAAAACTTAAAATAGCCAAAGCAATCTTGAGAAAGAAGAACAAAGCAGGAAGCTTCACACTTCTTGATTTCAAACTGCTACAAAGCTAAAGTAATCAAAACAGTATGGCAATGCCATAAAAACTGACACATAGACCAATGGAACAGAGTCAAGAGCTCAGAAATAAACATATGAGTATATGTTCAACTAATATTTGACAAGGAAGCTAAGAATACTCAAACACTTCTTGATTTCAAACTGCTACAAAGCTAAAGTAATCAAACTGTATGGCACTGCCATAAAAATTGACACATAGACCAATGGAACAGAGTCAAGAGCTCAGAAATAAACACTCACAAAAACATTCAACTAATATTTAACAAGAGAGACAAAAATAATCAATGGAGAAAATAGTATCTACAATAAATGGTGCTGGAAAACTTGTTAACCACATAGAGAAGAATGAAATTGGGCACCTATCTTATACCACTAACAAAAATAAACTTAAAATGGATTAAAGACTTAAATTTTAAACCTGAAACCATAAAACTCCTGAAAGAAAACATAAAGTAAAAGCTCCTTGACATTGATCTTTGAAGTGATTTCCTACATATGACACCAAAAGCATACGGAACAAAAGCCAAAGTAAGTACAACTATTTTAAACTTAAAAGCTTCTGCATAGCAAAATAAACAATCAACAACATAAAAGGCAACCTACAGAATGGGAGAAAATATTTTCAAATAATATATCTGATAAGGGGTTAATATTCAAAATATATAAAGAACTCATACAACTCAACAGCAAGGAAAACAAAACAACGCAATTTCTAAAAAATAGAGAAGTTGGATAGACAATTTTCCAAAAAAGATATGCAAATGGCCAACGGGTACATGAAAAGGTATTCAACATCACTAATCATCAGGGAAATGCAAATCAAATCCACAATATGTTATCATCTCACACTTGTTAAAATGACTATCATCAAAAAGACAAGAGATAAGTTGGTGAGAATGTGGAGAAAAAAAAACCCTAGTGCACTGTTGGTGGGATTACAAATTAACCCAGCAACTATGGCAAACAATATGAAGGCTGCTCAAAAAGTTAAAAACTGAACTACCATAGGATCCAGCAATCCCACTTCTGGGTATATATCCAAAGGAATTGAAAACAGGCACTTGTAGAGATATCTGTACTTTCATATTCATTATGGCATTATTCAATAGCCAAGATATAGAAATAACCTAAGTGTCTGTCGATAAATGAATGAATAAAGATGTGGTATAAAAATACAATGGAATATTATTTGGCCATGAGAAAAAAAGGAAATTCTGCTATTTGCAAGCACTTGGATGAATCTTGAGGGCATTATGGCTGAGATAAGTCAGATAGAGAAAGATAAATAATGTATGATATCACTTACATGTGGAATCTAAAACAGCCAAAATCAGAGGAATAGAAGGTAGAGTGGTGATTACCAGGAGTTAAAGGATGTGGGAAACGGGCAGATGTTGGTCAAAGAGTAAAAAGTTATGATTATAATTTATAAGATTAACAAATTCTGGAGATATAATGTATAGCATGGCAATTATATCTAACAAAACTGTATTATATACTTGAAGGTTGCCAAGAGAATAGATTGCAATGTTCTCACCACAAAAGAGAAATGGTAATTATGTGACAGAATGGAGATGTCAGCTAGTACTATGGTGGTGATCATTTTGTAACCCATAAATATCCACCTAATCAACAGGTTGTTTGCCTTAAACTTACACAATGTTATATGTCAATTATAACTCAATAAAGCTGGGGGTGAGGGAGAATTTTCTTTCAGTACCTCCTTGCCTTTCCTAGGAAACAATTTATAAAGGAAAAGCAAGATATATAGAATAGCTGCTTGATGCTTTCCTTCATTTATCAATTTTTAGAACAAGTTGGGAGAAGATCAATAGAGTTTTCCTGCATTAGAAATTATGAAAATCTCAACAGATATAATTCAGCGACTAGTAACTCTTGAGATAAAATTTTAAAATCTGGGTTTTAAAAAAACAGAATCTCTAATCACCTTTATGGAGAAATCTAATTGCTTTGCCATGTGTCAAATCACATGAATAGTATTTTTAAAGCCCTGTTATATACATAAAGGAGTCTTTAAGACCATCTAGCCCAAACTTTCATTTTAATGATAAACATACAAAGGCCCAAGGAGGCCTGGTGAATTGCCAAAGGCCACAGAGATGTTTGAGGACAGAATTACTAGAACCTGAGCTAAACGAAGAAAAAAAGACACTATTCAATATTTATTTGAGCACTTTGATTATATTATTTCACTGCCTTCTGGCCCCTATGGTTTCTGATGAAAAATCAGCTGTTAATCTTATTGAGGATCTCTTATATATAACAAATCTTCTTTTGCAACTTTCAAGGTTCTTTGCCTTTTGGATAGTTTGACTATGATGTATCTGGGCTTGTGTCTCTATGTATCCTGCTGGGAACTTATTGAGTTTCTTGTGTAGATAAATGTTTTTCATCAAATTATTTCTTCACATAGTTCTTCTATTTCTTTTTCCTTCTCCTGTCCTTCTGGTACTCCCCTTATACGTATATTGGTGAGTATAATGGTGTCCTACATTTCTCTGAGGCAATGTTCATTGATATTCATTATTTTTCCTCTGTTCTTTGGGTGACATAATCCTTATTCATCTGTCTTTAAGTTCACACATTCTTTTCTGCCCATTTAAATCTGTTGAGTGAAGTTTTCATTTCAGTTGTTCTACTTTTCAACTCGAGTTTCCATTTGGTACTTTTTAATAATTTCTATCTCTTTATTGATCTCTATTTGATAAGACACCATCATAATACCTTACTTTACTTCTTCAAGCTTCAAGCATGGTTTCCTTTAGTTCTTTGAACATACTTAATAATGGCTGCAGTGACATCTTTGTAAAGTCTGATATCTAGGCCCTCTTTAGGCAGTTGGGGCTTGTTGCTGTTGTTTGCTTGTTTATTTGTTTAGCGACTTAATTGAAATATTTTATTGAAGTTTATTTATCTCACAGTGTGAAACCTGTGATATACCTTGAGGGTAGAGCCTTGGGCATACACATAGTCACTCTTTGATGACACTGGTTTTAGCAGGGGTCTCTTTGTCTGTCTTTTTCCCTGATTTCTCTGCTAAGCTTTCTGCCCTTGTTCCTATTACAACCAGATGATAAGCTCAACTAATTGTCAGTGTTTGCTCCACTGTTTTCAATAATGTTCTCAGGAACAAATTGCCCCACAGTCTGACCCAATTTAATTTGGAAACCTTTGCAGAAGTCATTTTGGAGGCCAAACTTTGAGGTTTATTGCTACCCCATCAGGACTCCTCCCATCTGTCTCTATCCCTGGTCTCCCTGGTAAACTATCTGACTTATGGTTTAGCATGTTACTCCCATGGAGCTAACTCCCTCTTCTTAATTGCCTACTTTTAAAATCTCCATTGCTTTAGAGAGCCCTATTAGGCCTGAACTTTCCAAAACTCCATTTAAAGTCAGTTCTTTAAGGAGAGCTTCAGAGCTTTCTTTTCTTATGGCTGCCTCTTGCCCTGTGGGCAAAATATCTGAGTGACTTCTCTGGAGTTAGGGATGGGGACAGTGGCTCACTTCTTTCACAGTGACACTTCTACTTTCTAAGAAGGGTGCTGGCAGGGATGGGGGGACGATAGTCCCTGGTCTTCTCAGTTTGCCTCTACCCATGTGGAACCTCCACCCTATGAGCAAGTTGGAGTGAAAGCAATGGGGCCCCAGCATTCTCAGCCTGTCAAGAGCAGGCAGGGCTCTTGGGGCAGAGTTCTGCCCTGTAAGTGGAGGCCGTTTGGAAGAAGGAAGCCCCTGACTTCTTGGCAGCCCTGACTAGAAGTAAGAGAGAAAGGAATTCCTTCTTGGCCATACTCAGCTGAATTGAAGCCTCCTTCATGCTGACCTGGACAGGAAGGGATGGGGAGAGTACATTATGGCTCAAGTGCCATAGATTGTCCTTACTGAGATTTACTAACCTTCCTGAATAAATGTGGTTTTTTGTTTGCTAACTTGATGTATGACCTTAGGATAGTTTCTAATACTTTAAATGTTTGGGTTTTTTAAATTTTTTTTTTTACCAGTTATGGTTTTTCTGCTAAGAATGGTTCCATGGAGCTCCTTATGCTGCCATTCCAAGTCATAATTTCCACTAAATATTTTTTAAGTACAGATGTTACCAGTAAACTAACATTACTATATAAATAGAGCATTAATGTTATCTATATATTCTGAGTACTAAGAATTAGGCACTGGGCTACATATTGGCTACGCAAGTAAATAAACTTTTAGATTTTTGTATTTTCCAAATTTTAATTAATGACTAACTTTATATCAATGACTAACTTTATATTAAAAATGGGATTTTTAATCTTTACTATTTTTTAAAATAAAATTAATTCATATTTGAAATTGTTGGAATTCTCTTAAAATTGTTTCTAGGATTATTTCAATTTTCAATTTTACAAATAATTTATTTAAAGTCTTCAGACTTCAGTTCTTAAAAGGTACAACTGATTAAACTTCTTGAGAGGTTCTTACTTAATTTCTTATCTTGTCTTTTTTTTCTTAAACAGATGCACACCGCTATCACTATTACCAACCAGACAACTGCTAATCTAAACAGTTAGGACTTATTTACATTTAATCAAACAAAAATCGCTTTGTGGAATCTAGATATTTTCTCCATGACATTTATATTGACATTTACGCAAAATCAAATTATTAATATATCATATATATGTGAGATCTTTAAAAATATCATTTAGGCCATTCCATATAAGTTACATATTTTCTATTTATGATATTTTTATTTTAGCTGATAATAAAAGGACCTAAGTAAAAATCCAAACATCCACAATATCAATATATGAAATGACCAAAGAGTAATCGTGACACTTCTACCTGATTTTAAAGCATTTATTTATTCAATACCTTTAATAGAAAAGTATTATGTAAAACATTTTTCTAAACATCTGGGGATGGCTTATATATGAATTTGACACCTGATTTAAGAATCTGTACCTGTACATCTCCTGGTTGTTAGGACCAAAAGGAACAGTCCAAAACTCATTTGGAACTCTTGTTCTCCCACCTAATCTCATATAAGAACAAAAGTTAACCTTATCCTAAACTTAGAACCTGTAATTTGATACAAAATAAACACACGGCTTGGATTTCAGAAGGATTTGGTTAACAACAGAGCTGTCACCCAAAGCATCGTTGAGTTAGAGAACTTACAACAAGAATATTATATATTTTAATTTTTCAACTTACCTGGTATAGATAATCTTCAAATACAAAATAATAATCATCATTGCTTGCTGTCAACTTCACATCCTAAAATTAAAAGTAGAGAATACTGAAAAGAACCTAAATAAATATATCTATGGTACTAAGACATAAATGCAATATTTAGAAAGAATACTGCAATTATTTTATTATTTTATATATGATTATAAACTTCTCAATTAGATTTTATCACTGCTATAAATTTACTTGACTAATATATGTGACACATTATTTGACATCAAATTGCTGACACTTTTTTAGGTTCCATTAGTAATTCCTTATTACTTATTTCTATTTTATCTCCTTCTAATCTACTTAGCTGTCTTAAAAGTTGGAAAAACAGATGTAATCATAACATTCAGAAGCAATCATAACAATATGGACCTAAATTACTATTCCAATCTCATCCTCCACTGTTCAGGTCCACATTCTTGCCATTCCCTCAAAATACCAAAAATCTGCTATGCCTTTGTAATTATTCACTTGCAAGTCATTGCTTATTAACAAACAAACAAACAGGATGCTGTTTATGTTCAAGAAGTCTACAATCTCACCAGCAAGAAAACATGCAGAGCAGAAATATGAAAACAATTACATAGAAATATTGCAGAAACCTCTGATAATATTGCTCAATCTACAAACTTCAACTGAGCTATTGAGCAAGGCAGCAAAAAGGGAAGGATGAAGTGAGTCACAGGTGACTCTGGAGGTAGTTGAATGCATGCTAAGTCTTGAAAGACTTAAAGACACAGATTAAGAGAGGAGAAAGAGGCCAGTCTTCCACATCAGAAGACATCATGGGCAGAGGCAGAGATCACGCATTCTTAAACAGGGATGATATTGCCTCTAAGGGGGTGAGAATTGATACTTGTGGGCCAAAAATATTTACATATTACAATGGTTTGTGGACCTCCAAAGCTTATCTCTACCCAACAAAATCTTATTCTTTGGTATCTAAGTTTTATGTTAGAGAAAAATTAGTTATTTTTCTCTTTAGGGGGTAATAACGAACTGGTGGAAAACAGTGGGCGATGGTGGGGATAAAATTCAAGTTTGTGAAAAAATACAGTCCAGAGAGAACCATTTAATAATTTAGCTTAGGGATGGTTTGATGATGTTCTATATTTAGTGTTGCCTTCTTCCATTCGCTCCTTCAACCACTAAAATAACTCGACTTTACTTTCAGTTAAATTAAAAATGAGTCTTTGCCAAAGAGAGCTATAATGAAACTTCAAATAATTTTTTTAAATGCTCATTCCCTCAAGGGCTGACTTTAATAACGTTTGGAGTTGCTCCAACGAGATCAGCAAAGCTAAACTAATGCAAGTCAGGAACAGAGACTGACATCTTCCTAAAAACACTCATGTTGTGGACAGTCAGGATTGATTCTACCAAAACTTACATTTAATTCTTCAGACACAAACTGTTTACCTCTTTCTTATAGCAGATTTTCTTACTGATTCAAACTGACATTATGTTGGCAGCAAACAGAAGTCTTAAGCTAGCACTCCCTGACTTTCTAAATGTCTTCTCTTGTGAGGATTCTCTCATTTGAATAGAAAAGAGGTTGACGGTATTAAAGCCCAAAAGGTCTCTCATCCAGTTGCTAAAATAATCCCCTCAAGTATGATCATTGGACGTCAGTTAACAGTAGTACCTGTGATCCAAATCTGTGTAAAACCTCTGTGAGAACCAAGACTTTTCATCAAAAGACTGTATCCTCTTGGCTCTCATCTTTACGCCCAGCAGCATACAGTAGTTAAAAGTAAGGTTGTGAAATCAGATCGCCTAGGTTCAAATCTTAATTTTCTACTTAGCACACAAATTTAAACAAATTTCTTTAATCTTTCTTTGTCTCAGTTCCCTCATCTGTAAAATGTTAAAAATAATAGTACTTCCTGTTTTGTTATACTTGTCAATATGTGGCTGGTAAGAAAGGGAATGATGTCAATATAACATGAAAATTATGTTGGTTCATATACAATTTTTCTTTAAAAAGAGGGGGACAAAACATCAGGATTAGTATTATAACAAGGAAAGGAAAATGCCTTCAGCTCAAGTGCTGCACAAGCATGATCCCTTATAACTATATTTCAAAAAAATTACAAATGGATGGCTGCACTGGGGGCTCCCTCTCCAGAGAGGCACAGCTCTGCCTTGTACATCTCTGTTTCTTTACCCCCTATCATACTCACCCTAATGCAGCTCCAGTAGCCCCGCCTACCACTTCTGTCTGCATTATTTTGTATTTCTACTTTATTATTTTTGTACCATTTTAATAGTTCCTGCAGGAGCAGCCTGCCTGAGTTGTCCAATTTATCTCCCAAGCTACCAATTATTCTGTTAGTACTCTGGTTACAAACTGCAAAAGCTACCTCATCCCTATTTCCCCCATAAACTCTATGATTTTTAATGCATGATTTTGTAGAATGCGAGTTTTTTTTTCCAGGGGAAAAAAAAAAATCATTTATAGCCTAACCGCTGGTATCTGCCACCCTTAAGTTTCGCTGTCAGGATCAAATGACAATCCATGTAAAGGGTTTGGAACACTGCATGGCACACACTTGGTGGTCATTAAACACGAGTGATCATCATTATCAACCATGGTCGTGTTCCACCCAGACAAACCTGCGGGTCCTCCATGTGCTCTCTTCTTTCCCCCATTTCCAAGACCTGAAATACTATGCCCTTCTCCACTGTCTTACAAGTTCTAAAATTTAAAGCCAAGTGTTTTACATAGACTAATTATTAACCCAGAATCAACCATATCCTGTATTATGCTTACGGCATTTATATCTCAACTTGATACCAGATGCCTGGACACAAAAATTCAGTTTATCTCTATCATAAAACTTGAGAAATGCTTAATCACATGTCTAGAAACCAAAAGAAATTAAAAATAACAAATGACTTCAATATAAAAGAATAAACCAGTAGGTTATAAAGAATCATGAGATAAATAAGAAATGCTTATCGTTCTCTTAATCAAAAAACAGGAGGAAGAAGAAAGGATCATAAGGACAACTTCAAAAGGAGAGAAGATAACATTGAATGGAGTCTGCAAAATTTGAAGGTCAAGCTTAACTTTACAAAGAAAATAATCACTTAAAATTATTTTTCAAGGTTAATATGTATCATCATATATAAAGCAAGCCTTGCATGTTAAAGACTTTCAATAATTGTTTACTGATATTAAGAAAGTGAAAAAACTATGTACACTTTTACTTACTTTATAAATTAGACTGTCCACCAAAAGGTCATGTTGTATCACATTAGTCTTAAGCTGCTCATAATACAAGACATCCTAGAGTTAAAAGTATAACAAACAAAAAAAATTAAAGGTCAATCACATTTATAAAGTGTGAATCAGCCTCAAACTTTAATAAATAAGAATCATTAATAGTATTATAAATGCTAAGAGGATAGAGACTTTATTTTATTCACTGCTACATTTTCTATACCTGGCCAATATTAGGTGCTCAATAAATATTCCTAATCCCAACACTTAGGATGAGATCTGGCACCTGGTATGTATTCAAGTAATATTTGCTAAATTGATTAACTATAAGTTAACTTCAATAGCAAATACAGTGTTTATTAAGTAATTACTAGGTATCAGGAACTGTTTTTTACCCACTATTATGAGTTAACTATGAGTTAATTTATTTAATCCCATACCTACAAAATAAAATGGTTGTGATTTACATTTACATTTACATTTACATTTGAGAAACTGAGGCCCAGAGTAAAAAGTTCTTGCTGTTCCAGGCCACAAATGTAGTATGATTTGATCCCAGAAAACCTGACCCCAGAACCTATACAAAAACCAGGACCACTCTATACTGTCTTTCTAATACCTAAATTATTATAAAATAAAAAGTTTAAACATACTAAATCATCTCTGGTAATAAAAGCAATCATATAGCTTATGAAAGAAGTTATTTATTTTATATTAGAATATGGTCCCATCATAATATAAAACATGATTAATTCTACGCAGTGATAAGATTAGGCTAATATTTAATCTAATAAAGAATAAGAAATAGAAGGAAGAGAGGGAAGGTAGAAAGGAGAGAAAAAGAGAGAGAAGGGAAAATAAAAATGGAGAGAGGGGAAGAAAGGGAGGAAGGACTTGAAACTACAATCCTGCTAAGCATCAGGTTAATAGTTGGTCAGGGAATTTATAATAAAGGTTAAAAAAATGAATAACAGTTAAAAAAAATGAATAAAGATCAATTTGGTAGCAGTTGTGTTAAAGAGAGATAGAAATATCTCATTGCTTAAGCTGACTCCTGTGTTCCTCCAAATCCCTCCATTCATCTCTTAGGCACTTTAGCCCTGGTTTCTGCTCATGTCCAAACACTACTTGGCTCCATTAGCACACACCAATCTGTATGATTCTCTCTGAAGACATTCCCTCTACCAAGTGTTGTGGGACAGGGTCGTCTGGGACAAAGAAGAATGTGTTGCATAGCTGCCTTGGCAAAGGCAGTTACAGTCATGTAGTGGGGTGTTTGCCAGACTATGGTAGAATAAGTAAGTAAGAGCATCCGGCATAGACTTCTTTTTCAGAGTGTTTAGCTGTAAAAGTAGAAGATTGTAAACTTAATTACTAAAAAGAAGTGGTTGAGGAGAGTGAAGGTCAAAAACAGGCACTGTGAAGATGAGGTGGGCTGACCGGGAAAATCAAGGTCAGGCATTATTGTAGACCTAGGTAAAGTGGAGAACCTTATTTAGAAATCACTAAAGCAAATCTTAAATGTTAATATTAGTCTTAGCTATTTTATCAATAAGCAAGTACCTAGAAAAAAAGTATTAAAATTTTTTCTGTCTTCTTTTAATTAGCAAGCTGAAATTAAGCAAAAAATAAAATAAAATAAAATATGAATGCTTACTAAATATGAATATTTTGACACACACCTAAAAATATGTAGGAAAGAAACTACATAAAAGTAATCCTTTTAAACTTATTGCTTATTTTCTTAAAAAGGGGAAACAAATCAAAGGTATATAATGTTTTAGTAAAAATAGTAAATAAATTAACTACTAAGAACTTAAAGCATTATATCCAAAGTCTTTCTATTGAGATAAGATTTTTAGAAATAGCTTTATGGGTGCGAAATATTCCATTTCTCTCTCTAACTCCTCATCTATGACTGCATTTGTATGTGTAGTTTATTTTAAGTGATTGAGAAGTAATTGAACAGAGTTCTGGTTAAGTTCTGGTTAAGTTCTTGATAAGAAGTAAGTATTCTCCCTCTCTCCCCATTCCCGCACCCCTGCCTCACTCTCTAATGTACCACCCTCAACAATTATTTTGGAACTGTTATACACGTTTGTTAAAGTCACACTTTTACAGCTGAAAATAAGTGTAAGTGATGGAAAGTGTTTTATTCAACAAAGATTGCTTCTCTAAAAATACGAATTTCTATTTATAGACTTGTCATTTTGCATTTAGAAAATTAAGATGACTATTAGTTCCAAAATTCAGGAATAAAAAACCATCATTGAACATTATAATAAACAATCATTATCTGGGATTACTACTTTTATTCTAGGGTGATATTTCTGGAAAAATTCTAAATTTGTTTTGAAATGGCAGTGTTAGTTTCTCTGCAGAGACAAGATTTGTTATCTAGCTCCTGATCAGTGAAGTGGTAGGTCATTTACACAGATTAGTTACACTTCTACTACAGTCGATACACTCACAAAAAAAATGCCCAACACACACTCAAATCTATTTTGTAAACTGTTACTTCTAAAGTGTCACCACACTAAGATCAGCAATATCATTTGTTCTAAAATTGCTCTGAAATGAATCACAAGCTTTATTTATTCTTCCCCAAAAGAAACAAGTGATTTTTGACAGTGCTATTCTCAAAGATAAGATTTAAAAATACACACATACATGCACATGCACACACACATATACGTAATTTGCAAAGGTCAGAAGTGTAGTTTTTATGATAGACTATAATGTTTGCCTTTAAATACTGCATTGTTATAAATTATAATTAATTTGTAATATAATTATGTGCAATATGTAATTATTATTACTACCATTAATGGTGACCATTTATGTCAAGCGCTGTGTTAAAAGACTCATGTACATTATTTCATTTAATTCCCACAACCACTCTGTAATATAAGTATTATTACCTATATTTAAGTATGGGTAAATTGAAGTTTGAAGAAATTTAAATAGCTCACTCGATGACATATTTCAATAAGTCAGAAGAGCTAGGAGTTGAAACCAGGTCTGTATGATTTTAAAACTCATGTTTTTAACCAGTAGACTAGGAAACCATTAGTTTTCTATTTATTAAAGCATTTAAATGAATGACTTATATGATTAATGAGCTTAAGAAAATATTTCAAAAATAATCAGTCTTACATAATTTTTTCTTTATTGAAACTATTAACTGTCTGTTGGTGATTTCTCTTCATATTCATTATATTTCCTAAAATAAATGTTCTTATACTTAGAAAAATAATATTCTCACATAATCTGTCAAAATAGTACATCTAAAATAGTATGTATAAAAAAATACACATTTCAAAAGTAACTGTAGGGACAAAGTATTCATTTACTTACACTGAGTTGCCCGTCTTAATTTCTCTCTATTCTAACACCTTGTTTCCATCATACGTCTTCAGTAATCTAAATGGGCAGACTCCATTTCTTAACATTTCACTTATTGTTCTTTGTGTGTATAAGTACACACTAATTATTAATAACAAAAACGTTTATGTTAAGAGTTTAGTGACTAAATTATGTTAATCTTATCTTAGAACTAAAAACTACACTAATTTTGAAAACAAAAAAGAAGGTAAATGTTAGATTAATAAACAAAAGTATTTCTACTTTGAATAATTGGCATTTGAAAAATAGTTCAAATTTGGTCCATCCTTTTTTCTTCTTACCTCGGGTTGACCGGAAATATTCAAAATGAGGGCCCATAATTCTGCTCGCAATGCTGTGGGGCTTCCTTGTCTGATGTACTGTTGAGCAGCAGCACTATCTTGTTCTGCTAGAACTGGCAAAAGTATATTAAATCTTATTAGAAAATTCTTAATTTAAGAAATAGCGCTGAAATTGTCAATTAAAAATCTTTTGGGAAGCTAACATTTCATCTTTATGTCTTTTATAATTACATCGTGCCTTGACAACCTTCTTTTACTCTCTGAATTTTAATATGGTCCTATTTACAGCTCTATAAGGTTTAAGTCTTAAGCTTCCCCTCCTCTTACCCTGCCTGTAAAAGTTTTTAATGTACATTGGTACCTCGAGATCACTTTGCTTTAACTATAGCTCCATGGATCTGAAATTAGTGATGCATATATATAATTTTTGGATTCCATAATCAAGTAAAGTCATATCTAGAGAATCCCAAAATTTCTTATGTATATTCTACTCAGTCATCAATATTTTAGTATTTGGAAGTGTTATGGTATACGAAGTATTATGACTAAGAATTATAAAGGATGTAAGACATCTATTAGGTGACTTCTTAGCTGTCTCCCAAAATCAAGAGAAAAGAGGGATTCTTTAAAGAAAACAAAAAAGATCTGATAACCTTTTAGGAAGGCCAAAATTTATTTGTAAGCAGCCAAATTTATAAAATCAATATATTATACTTTTGCTTTCATTTTCATTTTTGTTCTCTTTAGTGAAAATACTAGGTATTGAGTCTGGAAATAAAGCTTCTCTCCAACAACAACAAAAAGACATACTAGACAACTGCTGATATTTGTTTAACAGTACTATTTTCTTATATTTTCTTCTTAAAAGAAAAGAGAAAAAATTTACACTAAATGAAAATGACAAAACCAAATGAAACAAGGAAATGATATGAAATAAAAAAAGATGAACATTTTAAATTTGCAACTGTGTTTAATGAAAATTCAGATCATACATATGAAGTCTTTTAAATATGAATTTGATAAATTAAACTAAGGAGTTTAGAATATGACAATGTAATTGCCATAGAAGGTTCATTCTGAAACAAAGACTTATTTGTACTACTTATTTCAAAGATAAAACAGAATTTACATAGACAAAGAAAAAAATCTTCAAAAGATGGGGAAAAATTATTCCCCAGAACACTAGGAGCCTCTTCAGTTATTAAGTCTTACCATTATGAACAGTCATCAGGAAGCGTGACGGTTACATTTTCTCCTGATGCAGGAACATATTCCCATTAACACTAATGAGAAGTGTGTGGGCGCATCAGAGAGAGAACCTGCTTCTTTGATTTTAAAATGAAATTCTACTGCTGAATGGATTAAGCTAACATCCTTGAGGAATGTGTATCTGCATTTATTATTTTCTTTTTCGTGAACCATCTGTATACTTCATCTGACATTTATCGATGAAGTTAAAATGATGCATTTCCCTTCCTTATAAAGATTTCCATTATACTATCTATGTAGTTAAATATAACTCCTTTTTAGGTTTTTAGCTTTTTGGAGATTAAATTTCAGTTACGGGTATATGAATACAGACATTTACTTAGGACTGTCTCATTTTCGGAAATTATAATAAATATAATCAAAAGCTTACCTTTATGCCCAATACGTACATGCTCATTTTCAAAAAGTTCTAAAAATGATAAAAGAAAATAAAATAATTAAACAGAAATATGATGAACCACATTTAGGACAACGGTATATTTTTTCTGGTATCAATACTTTCGATAATTATGTTTAAAGTTGAATGGCTCTAAGAATATTTATATTTGTATGTAGAAAACCATTTTTAAGTTGTTTAGAGTTTGTAGAAATTAAAAACGAGTTAGGTACATTTAATCAGAAGAAACAATTGATAAATTAATTTTCCTTTGTTAAAATAAAACTGAACATCTCACAACACAAAAATGTTTTTGTTTATTCATCTTTAATTTTTTTCCTAAAAAAACACATGCTCACACAAAACTTGGGTGGTTGCCAGAGGCGGTGGTGGGAAGCAGGGGTGAAATGGGTGAAGGGAGTCAAAAGGTACAAACTTCCAGTTATTAAGTAAATAAGTCCTGGGGATATAGCACACAGCATGGCAACTATAGTTAATATTGCATTACATATTACAAGAGTTGCCATGTAATATTGCATTACAAGAGTTGCTAAGAGTAAATCTTAAACTTTCTCATAAGAAAAAAAATTTTGTAACTATGTATGGTGATGGATGTTAACTAGACTTATTATATGAAAAATGTATACATTTTTCAATATATACAAATATTGAATCATTATGTCGTATACTTGAAAATAATATAATGTTGTATGTCAACTAGACCTCAATTAAAAAAAAAAACTTGTTGGCAGCTTCATTTGCGAAGTCCTACTTCTATCTAATCTACCATTAAAGCAAATCTAATTTTTAAAAGGCTTAATCCTACATAGGTAAAATTGTACTACACAAATGCCATTTAAAAAGATTATACAAAAGAAACAAAGGTTCGTTTTTAAAGTACCAATCAATAAGAAAAGACTCATAAACTAGACCAAATTAAAATTTTAAAACTTCTGTTCATCGAAAGACCCTAAGAATGAAAAAGGTAAGTCACGGAGTTATAAAATGTATTTGTGATACATATATCCAGCAAAAGATCCAGAATATATAAAGAACTCCTGGTAAGTCAATACTTATATACGACCCTATTCTCCTTTCCAAGTAACATCGTGGCCTAGCAATTCTCAAGTCAGGCAAAATCTAATTATACCACTAAGAACAATCTCATTGGATGAACAGTAATTCGACCCAAATTTTAGCAGTTCTACTTTGAGAAGCAGGGAGAGCAAAAATAACTGCAACGACTAAAGAGATCGTCACCCCCTCCAGGCAGACAGACACTCTATACTCCAATGGCTTTGGACATAATAAATAACAGCAAATACCAGGCTGATTCTTGTTTGAATCTTATTTTCTATGGTATCTTCCCTAAAAGCAAAGATTATGTCATATCTACATATTCTAGTCCCTTGCCCTTAGCAGGGTCTCACACATATTTGTATTATGAGTGAATCAAAGAAGAAAGAACTGTACTCTAAGGGAGGAAAAATAGGTTTTTTAAAGCATAGCTATTGTAAGGTTTAGAATAATTTAAAAACAATTCTTAAGGATTATTTCAAAAGTGAAAAACATAAATATCAAGGTATATTACTATTTCCTTTTCTTTTTGTTAGTTATATATGGCTATTGCTGGCCATGAACAAAAGTATATCTGTCTTAGTCCATGCAGGCTGCTATAACAAAATACCCCAAGCTGGTAGCTTATAAACAACATGAAATTACCCTTCACAGTTCTGGAGTCTAGAAGTCCAAGACCAGGGTGCCAGTACAGTTGGGTTCTGAGGTAGGGCAGGGGTAGGGGGAGGGCTCTTCCGTGTTGTAGATTAACGGCTTTTTGCTGCAGAATGGGCTGGGGAGCTCAGTTCGGTATCTTTTGTAAAGATACCAACTCCCATTAATGAGGTCAGACTGCTTAGTTCTGAATCTTGGTTCCATCACTTACCAGTTTTGTGACTTTTGGGTAAGTTACTTAATATTTCCACTTCTTCGACTTTAAAATGGTAGTAATACTTCTACCTCACACCATGCAAGAAAATTAAAATCATAATCCAATACCACTATATACCACCTGAACGACTAAAACAAGGAAGATGGAATACACCCAGCATTAGCAAGTATACGGAGCAACCACTACTCTCTTACATTGTTGGTAGGAGTGTAAACTGGTACTGCCACCTTTTAAAAATTCTTCAGCCCTTATCTACTAAAGCTGAACTTATGCAAACCCTAGGACTGAGAAATTGCATTCTCAGGTGTATACTCAACAGAAGAATATATATATATATATAACCAAAAAAAACATACTAGAATGTTCTTAGCAGCCTTATTTAGAATAGCTCCAAACTTGAAACTTCCCAAATATCCAACCACAGTAGAATAAATAAACAAATGTGTGTGGTATGTTGATACAATGGTACACTATAATGCAAAAAAAAAAAAAAAAAAAGGAATTATAAATACATATAGCAATATGGCTGAATCTCACAAACATAATGTTGAACAAAAGGAGTCAAACATCAAAGAGAACATACTATTGTAGATTGTAATTCATATGAGGTTCAAGAACTGGCAAAACTAATCTATGCTGGTAGAAATCAGAACAGTGGTTATCTTTGACACAGGGGAATAAAGATTGAAAGTGGTTACACGGAGTTTATTGATCTGTGTATGTCCAATTCATAGAAATTCATTGAGCCATTCTCTTATGATATATATACTTTTCCATATGCATAGTAATAAAGTTTTAAAAGTGGTAATAAACATAACTTCTAGGTTGCTGAGAGGTTAAAATGAGATAACACACACCACACATAATATATGCTCAATAATTGTTTATTTTTATGTGTATTGTTATTATTAAGAACAATAAATAGACAACTTCCTTATTTTATAGAGGAAGAAACAAGTGCAGAGATATAAAGTGACTTGCCCAAGGCATACGCTAGCCAGTGGCACGTGGAAGACTACAACAGTTAGATCCCCGACTCCTGCATAGTATTATTTCTAGTACAACAAAGGCCTCCCATATTTAAGTTAATTTTTACTTCCTTTTGATTATAGCTAAATATCAATTTAGTTTTTTTATGAAAAACACATTGTATTTATGCACAAAAAGAGAAAAAGGGAAAAGTTAGGGAAATTTTCTGGATGATTTAGATTTAAAAGATACTCATTTTAAAGCCTTAGTTTATTCAAGGTAGAGCATCATGTTCGCTTAATAGTGAGACACAAAATAATAATAATAAAAAAATAGTGATGGCCAGTAAAGGGAAACGTGAATGCTGCCAATAAAGATTTTGCCAACAAAATGACTTTTGTATGTCCAGTAACTTTTCAAAATTATTTTTAAGATCTTCAAGTAAAAAGGCAAGATCTAGTTAAACTCTGAGAATTACAACATTTAGGATTCTATTCAATAATTAAGAGTAACCAAGGAGAGGCAAAAAGCATGCTTAGTTTTCAGATATAAAAGAGTTACCGGATTAATCTGGAAATGACAAGATAAACCTTAACCTCACTCTCATTTATCATTAATTATATGCCATTTGGGAGAAACACTAACCAGGAGGCACTTGTGTAGAATCATCTATACCCAGTTGTCCTGTAGTTAAGCCAAGTTCCACAAAAAATTCTTTCTGAAAAATAACACACATAGAGTTAATATATGACTCAGACTTTGCTACACATTATTTTTTTAAAAATCACGTTCACTTTAACATCAGCCTAAGTAAAAATCACAATGTAAAACAAATCTTTGCTTCATTCAAATATCTAAAACAAACAAAAAAGAACATTACTGAACCTTTAAATAGTAATATACTAGTTCAAAACTAAGAAGCAGAACAACTATAATTTTTTTACAAGTACTGCTGTTTAACATTTATTATTTTTGTGTGAAATAAACATGAATAGAAAAGATAACAACTTATTGGGAAAATATATATATAATGAGAAAAAAAACCACAATATTTCTCCAAAAGCAGAACCTTCCTTTAGTAGCATTTTTCTTTCTCCTAATTTCTTCTACCTAAGAAAAAGTTTTACTTTGATACCTTCTGACCAATACATGTGATGCCAATGTTTAAAAAAACGTTTTAAAATCAGTTCTTAATTGTGTCTTTTTAGGTACTAGGCTAATTACTAAAGTAAGGAATGATAATTATCCTTTAAGAACTATTAACATTCAAATCTTTCCTGAAACACACATATACACGCAGTATATGCAGCAATTGTCAATTTTATCTTCTAAAATCATTGTCTAAAATGACCAATATAATTCTGTATCTGTGCTTCCTATGGTAGGTACTTACTTTATTCATCTCTTAATCAACTAAACACTACAAATATCCAAAATAACTTAATAATTTTTAAGTAAAATTAGACAATCAAGTGCTCTGCTAAAATAAGAATAAATTAGATTTATTCTCCAGACTTCCTCTACTTATCTAGTAATGTCTGGGGAAAGTAATCATGTTTAATGTTATTTTAAATATATAACAACCCTGTATTATTTGTATTATTTTTCTTCCCTAAGTAATTAAATATTTCTATTAATATTTGCTTCAGTGTTTTGTTACTATTCTAATTGCTAAAAACAAACTTCCTTCTCCTTTAAAAAATGAAATTAGTTTTAATCTTTCTAATTATCTATTATTATTTAAGTTAGTAATTTATTAATGTCCCTCACAAGACAGTTATTCAGCCTGATATGCACACACATTTCATTTTTGTATTGATTTTAAATAACTGCATTATATTTCAATTTTTAACTAAACTTGATTTTTATCTATACTTTTAAAAAACACTGCATCATGTTAACAATTTTTTTAATGACTAAAGAGGTAAAAATGTAATGTTATTCTTCCATTTTCGACCACTGTCATCCATTTATTTTAAACTCTTCCTTCACCAAAATCATTAGAATTAATGATAATGTGTTTGATTTTTTAATTAATTTGATCTTCATACTACAGAGGGACTTAAGTCCAACAAACATTTCAGTGTTAGGTTCTATAATCACAATGAAGAATTATACTTATGCTAAGACATGTTTAGAACATAAACAAAACTGAACATCCATTTTCTATTTCACTGCTTTGGACTATTTTTTGCTCAACATCAGTTGACCTGAGCCCTAATCGCAGTATTCCTTCAAAACTCACCCAAGATGTTACACCTTCTGGGACACCTTCTTTGATATTCCAGGCTGATTTAAGCAACTATCTATGCACATATATTGCCTTTTATCAACCTCTACCAAAGCATATAATCACATCCCATTGAAATTATCTTTCTACTGTCCATCTCCCCACTAGCCTAAAGCTCCTGAAAGAGAGGGACTGTCTTATACACATTTGCACCCCCAGTACTTAGCATAATGCTAAGTGACACATAGCAGAGGGGCTCAATAAATATTAAACCACATCACTGAGCTCTAGTTCCAATCTGCTGCCACATGACTAAATTAGCAAATAGGAATTAGTTGGGAACTTCACCTTACAGTTAATAAATTACAGTTTCAAAAAATTTCCTTTTAACACTGATAAATAACATTGTGTTACATAATGTTGTTAACATAGTGTCTACATAACATTGTGAAGTAGGTTTAAGGGTCATCCATTACAGACTCACTGAACCTCACCAAGTTCAATACTCATACAGACAGACCAAGGTCACAGATAAACCATGCATCCTTGAGCCAGAATTATTGTATCTCCAGACCATGTGATTCAGGGAAGGCAGCGACAACTATCTCTAATAACTGTAGGAAGAAAAGGACTAACCACACTCTTAATGGGAATAGCCACAATTTCTTGAAAATTAGTCACAAGTTTTTGTTTTTTCAATAGCTAAGAGTGAATCCACATCAGCTCCAGGTTGCCTCAGACAGACAGAAAATAGAACTGGTCCCACTCACACACATGCTGAACCTTTTCATACATTATCAACTTTCCCGGCTTCTTTAGTAGCAAATTCCCCTGAGAAGACTTCCCACCATTTCCAGGAGAAGAATCTGCCATTTCCTCTTCTGTATGGCCATGGCATTTTGTACAAATCACTACTAATACAGGACTTATAACACTGTTCAGAAATAACTTTTTAAAAATTAACTTTGTATCAAAGTTGTAGTAGTCATGGTTAATAATTATATACTGCTTACTATGTTCTACTAACAGGGTAACTTTAAACAACAGAAATTTATTCTCACAGTTCTGAAGGCTAAAAGTCCAAAATCAAGGTGTTAAGGGGCCATGCTCTAAGGGGCCAGTGTTGCTGGCAATCTTTGGTGTTCCTTGGCTTACAAAGGCACCACTCCGATCTCTGCCTTCACTGTCATATGACATTCTCCTTGTGTCTCTCTCTTCTGCAACTCTTCTCCTCTTCTTATAAGGACAATAGTCATATTGGATGTAGGACCTACCCTACTCTAAGATAATCATCACCTTAACTTGATTGCATCTGCAAAGCCTATTTCCAAATGAGGTCACATTCACAGGTACTAGAGTTTAGGATTTCAACATATCTTTTGGGGGGACACAATTCAACCCATAACTTCTACCTTAACTTATTGATCTGCACAAGACTTCTATGAGATATTATTATCCCTATTTTACAAATAAGAAAACTAAGGCTCATGGTCAAGAAAACTTGCTGAAGGTCACACAGCCAGTAAAAGTGGCAAAACAAGAATTTAAACCCAGGTTAGTTGGCTTCAGAATCTAATTGCCTAACCACCATGCTATGTAGTCTTTACATACAGCAAATAGTTTAAGAAGTCAAATCAGCTAAAAGACTTATAACAACAAAATAGCAGTTCCCTGTGTTACACATTCCTCTCCAACACACACATAAACACACACACTCATAATTGGCCCACTACCCAGGGACAACCACTTTCAGTATTTTTGTCCTGGTATGTATTTCCATATTTCAAGTAACAAGGGTATGTTGCTATTTTTTATCAGTTTAAGATATCTATTGATTTTTGTGGTAAATCAGGATTTCAGTTCATGTACCTCTCTTTTCCTTTCTCCATTATCCCAATATAATTATATATCAATTCTTGATTAAATATATATTAAGTTTACATTATTATGACTTCAAATATGATTCACTAAACCACATAATATGCTGTAACTGTTTCCTTTCTTGTACTTCATTCAGTTGAAAATTAAACCATTTTTTCACTTACACAACTTTCTCTAATCATTTACCTCTTCCTACACCCTTTCACAGCTCTGAAAAAACACTCAATACAATTTTGCATGTGGTCAAACTTGTCACATCATCTACACTGTCGGGGTTTTTCTTGCAGGCATCCATCCTGGAACCCTACAATCCCCGGTTCCAATCTGGAATCGCTATGCCCTGTGGTCTTGTTATGCACCTTATGTCCTGGAACTTCTCCTCACTATCATTCTAGGAATTCTTCTCTTAGGTTGAAATCTCGTTTTCTGGGTCCTCTGTTTGCTCTTTTTGTTTATGGCCTTGTCTTGGAGCACTTCTACCAATAGCTCCCTGAATAAGAGTAAATATCTTAGATCACATACTTCTGAAAATTTCTACTCCAACTTCACAATTCATTCACTGCTGGCTATATACAGAACTGCGCTTGAAATCATTTGGATTTTTAGAGGAATTACTTTGAAATCTCTGACTTCAAAGTAAGTCTTGATGCTGAGAAGTCAGATGCCACACTCTGACTCCTGACACTTACATATATACTCTGTTTTGCTTCAATAAAAAGTTTTTAGTCTTCTTTCAGGTGTCTTGTAGGATTTCTTTTATTCATGGCATTGGCTACTAGGTGAGTCTTTTCATACTGGAGGTTTCTGTCTTTCAGTTCTTGGAAATTTTTAAAAACTCCCTTACCTCTGTTTCCCCTTTCTGGAACTCCTACTGGTCAGATGTTAGCCCTCCTGGACTGATTCTCTAATTGGAAAAAAAACTTTTTTCTCTCTTAGTTTTCATCTTTTTGGCTTTTTGCTTTTGTTCTATCTTCTGATAGATTTCCTCACCTTTGTTTTTAGCTAAAAGAACTTTTTCACTCTCTAATGTTTTATTTTGTTATTTTAATAAAATTCTGTTCTTGTTTCATGAGTAATAGTTTCACTCCGAAAATATTAATGGTTGCTTTAAGTCTTTTGTTGGGAAGAAGTACTCAACAACAGGCTAACCCCTTTGTCTGTGTGAAGCTGGCCTTGGGTTTACCTTCTTTCAGCACTGTTGCCTTGAAAATGTATTGGATCGCACAAACACACTTAAAAATGTGAAGAGGAATGCCAGCTGTATTATCAAGAAATGTTATTTGTTCAAAAAAAATATGACCCTTGACTGATAAATTACGTCTGAAATGGAAGACTGTAAATGGATTATAAAAATCTATTGGAAAACACAGGCCTTCGCTGCCTAGTAGAGGACTTGGATGCTGTGCTCATGTGCATTACAAGAAGTGGTTCCTGTCTACGGCCATGCCACCCTGAACACGCCCAATCCCGCCTGATCTCGGAAGCTAGGCAGGGTCAGGCCTGGTTAGTACTTGGATGGGAGACCACCTAGGAAGATCAAGTGCTGTAGGCGTTAAAAAAAAAAAAAAAAACAGAAGAAGAAGAAAAGAAAAATAAGAAGAAGAAGTGGTTCCTACTGTGTATAAGACTTCTCTGTGTGACCTTGTCACTTCCAATTGTATGCAATTCTTGTGGGGCCTGGTAAGTAGCCTCTGGTTGGGTGTAAAGACCCCCAGTGAAGATCTGTCTGATAATCACATGCTGTGTTTTCTGTCCTTTACCACTCTTCAAGTGTAAGTGAACCTGGTGCCAGGTTATGGCTATTGGATCTTGTGAACATGAAAGTAAATTCAAACCTGAAAAAACTATTAGTGGTCATGATAAGTACTCATTCCTTAAATTGGCTATTTTGGCTATTATTATTTTTTAATTTGTTTGTTTTAGTTTTGGTCTCTGCCTTTCAAATTGGAAGATTTCAAATGAATGAAGATCCCAGACTGGTCGTTCATATTTAGGAACGAGGCAATAGAAAACTGACTGGAAGTTCTGTCTGTAAGGATTGGGCTTAGCATGTGGTGGGCTTCACTGTGAGGCAATTTTATAACGAGCTAGTTACCTTTGTTGTAAGGGTTTGTCAAAGCTCTGTTAGTCTTTTCTCTGGCATTCTAGAGTCAGTGGAAGGTGAGAAAGGAGAGAACTGGGCGGGCACAGTGGTGGTGACTGGGGATGAAGATTTTAATTTCACTATTTGGTCACCTTAATTCCTCCATTTTCAATACAGCATCTCATTCCTGTTCTGCTTCCTGTCTGACATCTCCGAGTTCAGAGCCTTTCTGATTCTGCTTCTCTAATAAATATGCCTCTGGTCTCCTGTGGTGGGGAGGAGTCACCTGACTGTGCAGGGGGAAGGAGCCTGGGGGAATTAATCCCTCCTGATACAGACTTTCACACAATCTCCATTTTCAGTCCGATGGCTCACCATGGTCTTTTATAACATGTGGTGCCTCCAATTCTTGAGACTTTCCAAAGTTCTATGTAGAAAATCATCTTGCTTTTTGTATCAGTCGGTGTCCAATCAGGAAATAGAGACCATACCAGGGTAACATGGAATTAGCAAGTACAGAAGGCAACTATGTCTTCTAGGCTGAAGAAGGGTGAATCAAGAAGGGACTAAGGATTCAGGAAAGGGTCCCTTCTGCCCTCAGACTTCTATGGAGAGGGAGTGGGTTCCACAGGAACGTGCAGACCAGGGGCGGTGAAGAAACTCACCAGAAGATACAGGCTGGAGCTGGTTAGTTGAGGGCTTTTGAGGTGAGTGCTACTGGGCCTTCTACATGCTGATCTGCTGGCTCCCACACAAGGCAACCAGGAAAGGAAGCCTCTTTCTCTTGCTATGATGGACTTACACTGGCCCTCCAGAACCCTCTATCAACAAAGTCTAATAATATAAAGATAGTTGGCAAAAGAGAAATGTTTATAAGGTCCAGCTCTAATATAATAAAGCGGAGCAGAAAAAGATAGATTTGGAGCAGAAGATAATCGATTAATTACTGGCACACTTCTTATCCAGATCTCCCATTTTCTCCCACTTAGGCGTGACCTTCTTCTTCCATGATTAAGTCATTTATCACTCTCTCATCAGCTCTCTATCTTAATATATTAAAGCTTAGAGGTAAAAATTGTTTCTGTTTCACCAAAGACAACATTTACATTTCTGTGCTCTTTATTTTTTTGGAGGTGATTAACAAAAGAAAGAGTGATAATTTCTTAACTCCACTCTAAGGAAACCTCCCCACCGTTCTACAAATTACTCTATTTTAAAACTAGCTTTCTCACCAAAACGTGACAGTCTCCAAGAGCAAAGACAGTCTCTAACTCATCCTTACTTTCTCTTATCTCCTGCAATGCCTCACCATCTCAGGAGCTTAATAAAGATTGCTTGAATTACAAAAATATATAGATTCTTTTTAAAAAATTTATAAAATTCACAATTTGTTTCCATCTGTTTTATAGACATACATTAAGCACCTGAATACTAACAAGCTGTCTTGTAAATCTACGATGTTTATTAAAATGAAGAATAAGCAAAAGCATTTATAGGTCAATGCAAGCTCATCTTTAGTCCTACTAGCAGAGTGACTCACTCTCTCTATGACATATTTAAAATAAAAAAGAAACTTTTCATTTTATTTATTTACTCATTCATTCGTTTATTTATTTATTTATTTATTTATTTAATGAGCAGATTGTCCTATTTAGATATGTGCTGCACTAAAATATTTTTCTAATGATTGTCTTCCAAACTATGTTAACTTATTTTTAGATGCCTGTACTTACCAATTCAGGGATGTCTTTTACTTTCAGAGGAACTTGGATTAAACCCAAATGAGTCCTGAAACTAAGAGAATCACCATTTTCATAATTTGGGTTGCGAAGATTAATTAATACCTTTAAAAACAAATCCAATGAAATTGATTAGTTTCTTTATATGATATCTACACTTATAAAATTTGCAGTGATATTCTTGATGTATCGCCACAAAATTAAAAACTATTTAGGGTTATGCATATATTTTAATGACATTCTAAAATACTGTTAAATTTTACTAAAAAGTTAAAATACCATAAACATGCTTTTAATTAGAATGGCTTAATATTCCAACTGATAATCTATCATGAAAAACCAAAAAGTTTAGTTTTAAAGAAAAAGTTTTGATGGTAAGAAAAAATAAGACCAGAGAAAGTGACAGAAAAATTAAAAATGCTTGATTGTAATATTTATCAGAGAAAATGTTAGGACCAACTTTAATCCTTTTAGAAACAAATATTGACAATGCTTTTAGAAAGATGGTTAAGTAATATTGCAGGGTATCACCTCTAAACCAAACCCACACGGGAAAAAAAAGGAAATTTTCAGAAGGCAAGCTAACAAGAAAGACTATTTATATGCTTTTCAAAATTAAACAAATTAAAAAAAGTAAGATATCTGCATATCCTCTAATCTAAGAATCTAATTTCAATGAGTATAGTTATGGAAATAATTAAAGATGTTTGCAAAAATAGTGCAGAAAGAATGTTAATGAAGTGCTGTTTATAATGGAAAATCATAAAACAACTTAATCCCACTAGAGGGAATTATTTAGATAAATTATGATTAATTACCATAATAAAATACAATGTAACATACCTCAATTAATATAAGTAATATAGGTGATAACATAAAAAAATGTTCACAATGTATTATGTTTTTAAAAATTATAGTAATTGTAGTGTTTATTGCTATACGATGGTATTATGAGTAATTTTTGTTTTAAATTTTCTTGTCATGTATGTTTTCTTATTTTTCTATCAATTAACATGCATTTTGAGGAAAATAATAACTTTAAAAAATATTTTAAAATTAAAACTCTTGAGGGAATGAAACCATCAAGAATCCAGTGAAGGAGATTATGATAACAGAAACACTATCATATGTGAGGAAGGCATTAATGAACTGATAACTAATGGCTGATAAAATGGAATGTGCTATTATGCTAAATGTTTCCTAAAATTGCAAGCACAAATTGAAACTAAAATTATCAGTGGTATTTATTTTAAAAAATAAAAGATTTAGCAAAGGATCAATAGTATTAAATACAGACTAATATAGTACAGTACAATTTTAGCATAATTACACAAATAAGGGATCACATTAAATGGGAAACTTAGAAACACAGAAAAAGAAAAGAAACTATGAATAGGTGGGTAATAGAAAAGAGAAAATATTAGAAATGCAGAAACTATAACTAAGGAAATAATTATAGAAAATTTCTTGAATTAAGAATCTCAGCATGACCACAGCAATATGACAAGAAAGAGAAATAAAATGTATCCAAATTGGAAAGGAAGAAATAAAATTCTCATTATTTGCTGATGACATGATACTATATAGAGAGAATCCTAAAGAGTCCACCAAAAAACTGTTAGAACTGATCAATGAATTCAGTAAAGTAGCAGGATACAAAATTAATATTCAGAAGTCAGTGGCATTTTATATACCAATGATGAACCTTCAGAAAAAATTAAGAAAACAATGCCATTTACATTTGCATCGAAAACAATAAAATACCTGAGAATCAAATTAATCAAGGAGATAAAAAACTTGTTCTCAGAAAATTACAAGTCGTTGAAAAAAGAAATCTAAAAATAAATGGAAGCATATACTGTGCTCATGGGTAGAAAGAATCAACACCATTAAAATGGCCATACTACCCCAAATAATCTATAGAGTCAGTGCAATCCCTATCAAAATACCAATGTCATTTTTCAGAGAGCTAGAACAAATAATCCTAAAATTTATATGGAAACATAAAAGACCTCGAATAGCCATGGCAATCTTGAGAAAGAAGAACAAAAGCGAAGTTATCACACTTTCTGATATCAAATTACACTACAAGTCTCCAGTAATCAAAGCTGCAGAGTACCTGCATAAAAGCAGATACGTTGATCAATGGAACAGAAGAGAGAGTCCAGAAATAAACCCACACCTATATGCTCACTTAATATATGACAATGAAGGTAAGAATGTACAATGGGGTAAAGACAGACTCTTACACAAAAATGAAATCCTACCATTTGCAATGACATGGATAGACCTAGAAGTTATTATGCTGAGTGAAATAAGTCAGATAGAGAAAGATAAATACCATATGATTTCACTTATATGCGGTTATCTAAGGAACAAAAAGAACAAACTAATCAAAACAGACTCACAAATATAGTGGACGATTTGGTGACGGACAGAGGGGAGGGGGGTCGGGAGGCTGGCAGAAAGGGGTGAAGGGTTAAAGAAGTACAAATCAGTAATTGATAGATGGTCACAGGGATGGGGAGCATTAATGTAATGGCTAGGTGGAGAGCCAGAGCAGAGAAAGAACAAGTAGGGGGATCGTTTTATAAACTATATAAATGTCTAACAAATGTACTATATACTTGAAAATAATAATAAAATAAAATTTTTAAAAAATCTCAGTGTGAATAATAAAGGATCAGTTCGGCAACAGTCTTTAAGGAAATAGAATGTATGACTATTAAGGAGAAAAAATATTGTTAAAGGTAGCCATGTAAAAAATACATAGAATTTCAGCCTTTAGTGCTAAAAAAGGAAAGAGTTTAGGAGAAACCTTTAATAAGTAAAAGAAATAATGCCATCACTATAAAGGCAGTTTCTGACCAACCTAACTTGTGTTTAAAGTCAAAAGCAGGCCATTTATAACTCCAAAGGTCTGAAATAATTTCTAACAATGTTTAATGCTGCCAAACTGGTATCAGAGACAATAGGTTCAGAAAAGAAATAAAAATAAAATGTAAAAGATTCATTCATTCGCTCATTCATTCAACAAGTATTTATTGAGCAAGAATATGCTCAACATTGTTCTACCTGTTAGAGACAGAGCAGTTAAAGTTAGATTAACTTGCAGCTGTTATCTATCTATGCTTATCTCCAGGGATACCTGGAAGTCTGTAGTGATCCTTCATCGAGATGGGATAGAATGTACTAACTAGTCAGTTATAATGTGCTACTTAATGTCCTTTGCATTTACATTGTTTAGGCCTGGACCACTTAGGAGAGGGAGGGAATAAAAAAGGAAAATATTCACTGAGAACCGATATGTGCCAGGCCGCAGGATACATGATTTACAGTCACTATTTTTTAATAATAATCTTCCTAATTGATTTACTTGCTTCTAATCTTTCCACACTCCAATGTATTTTCCAAGAGCATTTTCCAAACACAAATATGATCATGTTATTCCACGGCTTCAATGACTCAGGAGCTATTTACATGGTGATTCCACTGCCTGGAGCTATTCTTATATTATCATTTCTTTCACATTTTCCCCTTATTACCATACATATGTTTAACCAATAGAACCTACCTCAAGAAAATCCTTAGGCGCATAAACAGGTCTGAAAAGGCTTAAATCTAGAATTAAAAAGATAGATTAAAACAAAATTCCAGTTAATATGTTCTATGAATGTTTATTAATAATAAATATTAATAATTCTTTCATATGTTGCTGTGCAGCTAGATTAATTCAAACACTTGTCATTTTGTTAAATACTGGGAACACAAAAATAAAAAGACAGTTCCTCCCCTTGATAGCTTAGATGACATATTCTGGAAGAAATTAAGAGTCTCCCTTTCACAAAATTGTGATAGGTTACTTAAAATTGAGTTGAAAAAACAGTGTCAAGATAATATAAAAATTCTATATGAGAATTCTCAAAGTACATAGAATATAAACAATGCATTCTTAGTGAATCCCTCTAGTTGTATTGAACTGTTTTCCCTTTTAAATTTCTATAATATACTGCTTCCTCTATTATGGCACCTATTTCTTCTTGCTCAATTCTCCACACATATTTTTAAGGCGTGGTGAGGAATTATTTACATGTCTACCTATGTAATAACATAAATATATAAAATAGTGAATTATATACAGTTGTTAACCATTATACATTTATAAAATTGGTTGACTGAATTTTAAACATTAAAATGAACCAAAATAAGCCATTAAAAACATTTAAAAAACCCATTAACCTATCTTTAACATCTCAATGTAATTAAAGCTTGAAAAATATTTACCTTAACTATGAGTCTAAGAAATCCACTGAATGATTTAATTTACTCTTTTATAAAAATGTTTTCAAGTGCTCCTTTAAAAAAGTATAATTGATTTAAGTATTCTAAAAATAATGGAGAACACTGAAAGTTAGGAATTTTTAAGCTGCAAAGTAGAAGTTTAAGCAAACAAAATAGATGATAGTAAATTACTGGGAAGGGAAAGTTGCTATCTACCCAAAAGAATTGTAAATATTGTTATTTTGGACCCATAATTAAGAAGGCAAATTTTTTCCCACTACCCCATGTAGAAAAAAGTTCTTAATATACCTGGTTCATCAGTTCCCATTTCATTCCATTTATTGAGGAGTTCTTTCTGTTCTCCAACTGGCCTCTAAAAAAGGTAATTTAAAAATTGGTTTCATTTTGTGATGTTCAGCAATGCAGCTGAAAAACAAGAATTGATAACTTATCTAAAGTTTTAAATAAGCTACTATAACATAAGGAAAAATAATTTCATTACACATGGTAAACTTTTTTGGCATTACACTTAAATTATTATTATTATTGAACTATTATATCTAGTCTCAATGGCTCAGCTAATGAGTTCAAGAAAAGAAGGTAAATAACCTGTACTGGCCAGTAAATTTCACAAAGAAAAACTGCTCCTCAGCCACATACTACACCTCTTACCCCATCCAGCAACCTCAGAAATGCATCGCAAGGGGGACTGGCCAAGAGAGTATGATTGTGAGTCAGTAGCATCATCTTCCTATATGAAAGACAGTATATTACACAATACTACATATTTAGACAGTTTTTCATATAAATTTATCCTTTTTTTTTTACACCATCTTTCTGATGTCTTCAGTGACTTGTCCTTGGACATTATCCAAAGTACATTCATTATATTCTGTCCAACAGCGGAATAAATATCAAGTGGGGAGACTGAAGTGGAGAGAAACTTGTTCTCCCCTACTCATGAGCAGCTGTAAAGAATCCAGAATACTCCTCAAGTAGATTTTCTCTCCTTTTTCATCCCTCCCCGCTGAAAGCCCAGACTGACAGACAAATGTTGAATATTAGATCTAAGTAAATTTAATACTATTCAATCTAAAAAGTTCTGCAGAGAGATGACAAATCATTCTTTTCACTCCCTATATTAATACTGAAAGATGGTACCATATTGGCTATTACAAGATGACAATATGCCTGAAATTCATCTTTAATTAAAAAATATGGTAACTGTGCTAATTAGCCAAAAAGTAAAAAGATTAAAGGTAATTAAAATCTTTAAAGTGCATTTATAACCTTTATAGCCAAATCTCTAAATAATTTATATTATAGATTTTATACTTTATTTCTATTTATTCTCAAGTTATAGGTTTATTACAAACAGCATTACAACATATATAATAGAAATCTATATAGAATACACCCATATAATTGGCCTTTTACAGATTTGTTTCAAAAAACAAACCAATACACTAGCCAAAAAAAAGATAAATCTGCCTAACAGTTATATCTTCATGATACTTCCTAGTGCTCGATACACATTAAAATACTTAAATGTTAAAAGTACCTTTCGTGCCAATGGAATACTCAGTTCAGTGCACATACTATTTAGACTCTTCAAAATTCTTTTTTCCCAACTTCCCTGAAACATAAGGAAAAATCTATTATCGTTTCTGGTTAACAATACTGAAACTGATAAAAAAAAAAAAACTCACTGGTTAAAAAAATTAAAAATGAATTAGATAGAAATGGTGAGGATGGTTGGGATTTAGTATTCATTAGTTCAGTCAATAAATATTCATTACTGCCTGATACTATCCTTAGTGCTGTGAATAACAGAAAATCTCAGTCTTCATGAAACTGACACTGTAGCAGAGGATGCGAATGAGGGTAAAAAAATAATAAATTAATAAATCACATGGTGATAAACATTATAAGAAAAAATAGCAGATAATAAAAAGGTAAATTAAATTAAGCATTTTATAAATGTTTGATACTCAGGAACCACATTAATGACCTAGTAAAAAATAAAATTTTACAGAAATTATTACATATGACTTTTCAGTTCTAAGTACTTCAGTATGAATGTTCTAAGAACTTCTCCTACAAAACCATAATATCACTATCACACTTAAAAATTAATAATAATATTTCATATCATCTAATATTTAGTCCATATTCAAAATTTCCAGTTGTCCCCAAAATATCTTTTACAGATTTTTTTAAACCCAAGATCCATTAAAAATTCATTCATTACATCACATTTGGTTGTTATGTCTCTTTTAGTGTAGCTTAATCTAGAGTCTCTTTGTCATTTTCTTTTCTAGGATATTGACTTTTTTGAGGAGTCCAGGCCAGTTATTTTTTAGAATGTATCACAATCTGGATTTGTCTTACTGTTTTTCATGGTACTGATTACCTTCTTCTCTATCCCCTACATTTTTTGTAAACTTGAAATATTAAGTTAATTTTAATAGTCATAGATTTGATTATTCATGTGTATCATGAATATTTTAGTAAACTATTCTTTTTAATGCCAAGATAAAATGTCATAATTTCTGTTTGGCTTTTTACTAAAATATGCCTAAAGTCTACTTCTGCCTCACGGAAACCAAAATAAAATAATCCCAAAGCTCCAAAATTTAGACCAAGAAAAAGAGAAAAGAACTATATATTATATTATTCATAAAAGACGGTTATAACCCATCAATAAAAGTAGAATAATAACAATAGTTCCTTTATGTGGTTATTATAAAGGTTAAAGGTGTAAAGTACTTTGAACGGTGACGTAATAATGATAATAATCATTCAATAACTGAAAGCTTTTGCCACAGCTATCATTCATAGCTTCTCTAACACACACATTTACATTACTCTCTTTATCTGGATATACTCCCCATGCTCTATTCCATTCCCTAACATACTTATTCCTACTTTATCTGAATAAATCTTATTTACCTTTTAGGTCTTCATCTCTATTAAGCCTTCTCTTACCTGGTCTTCCACCCCAGATGATATTAGGTGCCTACTGCTTATGGGCTCTCAAAGCACCAATTCCTTCACCTATCATGGCACATTATCTCATTTTGTCTAGCACATAACAGATGTTCAATAACTGAACAGTTTTCTACTCAAAGTAATGTTACGAGCATTTTAAAGTTTTCTGATACAATGGCCTAAACAATAAATTAACAAAAAAAAAATCATCTATAGAAAAAATATAGAGCTGTGTGAAATAAGCCTTAGTTTATTAAATATATAAAATAGATCTTCAAGAATAAAATATTACTCTTAATAAATTATATAAAATACTCCCAAAACTAATTCCATTTACCAGCTTATTTTCAGTTCTTTTTATTATCATAAATATTTCTCTTAGATCTGAAACTTAAAATATATTAGAGTACCTTATTCATGATCAAACATTAATTACAATACAGCTCACTTTCATCTCCAACATCCTTATTCTCAATTTATCTGGGTAAACCTTATTCGACCTTTACATCTCAGCTTAAATCACATTTCCTCTAATTAGCCTTCTGTCACTTGCTCCCCATTCGAGAATGTGCTGGGATCAGGTACAAGAAAACTTATTTTTTTAAGAAAGTAATTTTAATTTAATCATTACTATAAAAAGAAAATTTGCATGAAGATTAAAAATCCAATCCCTGAATTTGTATTATTTATCCTATTGTATAAAGAACTAAATTGCTGTCTATTGAAATATGATTCAAAATATTCTCATTTTCATCCACTCATAAAAAGGGCTCTTAAACTGATAAAAAGGCAACTCTCATATAAAAACAAAATTAAAGTAACAGTAGATACAATGTGTGGCTCATAATATATTCCTTACATATTTTCAAGACTGCAAAACACAATTTTAACATAGCATAAAGTCTAAAACCTCAAACGTGAAGGCCATTCAAAATAGAATATCATCTTCTGGAATGACACTTTAACAAGATATTCTGAAACATATTTGTTAACTTATCCTTTAAAAAGATTATTTTGGCAAAAATATCTCATTCAGGTGATTTCTATAAACTACAATTTTAAGTGATTAATCGTAGTTCTCCTAAATGGGTACCCCGCTGTACCAAGTATTTCAACTTATCAATTTTAAATTTAACATTGGATGTTAGATATAGAGAGAAAATAGTTAAGAAAAAAAGTTACACAGAAATCAGATATCGGAATAAAAAGAATGAAAAGAGTTTAGGAAACAGAGTTCTGTAATTTATATATGTTATTAATGCTGTGAAATAGGTATCATTACCTTCCTTTTATGAATAAGGAAACTTAAAAAGAACACATGAGAATAGAATGATAAAGAAAGCAATGTTGATTAAATCTTTATTCGATTATCATTTTTTTCTGTGTTCTCAAAGCAGAATCTTAGAAATAACCCAGAAGAGAAGAAAGAACATGACTAAAAATTAAGGAAGGATAGAGGAAAAGAATATTCAGTTCAGAAAAAAAAAATGGGACTTTTGTGGCTAGAACAAAGGAAAATTAGGTGTAGTAGTTGAGTTTTCAAATAATGAGAAGACATATTCAACAAATATTTATCAGGCACCTATTTAAACATATGCCACTAAAGATGAATTAAAAACAGCATCCCTGTCCCTAAGAAACACATTGTTTTTGTGGTGGGGAAAATAAGGCAGGTAAACAAATTATGTGGGATGGGTTCAAAAAGTTCATATGGGCTGTATCATATATCATAAACCACAGAAAGAACATAAAAGAATGAGCAAAGAAACAGGAAGCTAGAGCAAAACTTCTCGCTGTCAATAGAACACATACCACTTGCTTTAAAATCCTAAAAATAATGAAAGAAAAGTGATTCACCATGTCTTCTCCATTCCCTGTTCCATATTGACACAATGACAATGTTGGCAGAGCTTTTCCAAGCTACCCCTTGCAAGAACTTCGGTCAGATGGTCAGAGAAGTCATTTCCATAGATATCAGAAATAGGAATAGAACTTCCTGACAATGAAGGGAAATCCAAGATGAAAAAAGTGGCTGCTTTCAAGCTGGGTCATCCCTTAGGTTCTCTCAAGAATTCTAATCTTAATTAAGTGGTATTCATTCATTCCTTTGTTTACACATTGACTCACCGACTCACTGACTAATTTAATGCCTTTTATATGCCATATACAAAACTAGGACCAGTGAGTAAATCTTACAAGAATCATATGACTATTTAATATAAAAACTTTCCAACAAGTAGACTTAACCAAAATGGCTTAAGTCAGTGTTTTCAGAAGTAGTTGAATAAAAGGAGATAAACTCCAGAGGTTAGACTGGCTAAAACTGAAGGTCCACTTCAGCTCCAGTTTTATAGATACTTAATTTTTCTCAAGTTCTATTTGTAGAGGTGACTAAATAAGCCCCGAGTTTCTAAAATAAATATTCAAAAAATCATAGTTATTCCTGTTCTATTGTTTATGTAAAAATTTCAATATACACTTAGCACCAAAAAAAGAGCAAAAATAGCAAATAAGTTCTTAAATGACAGTAAGCTAATACCAAATAGAAAGAAAGTAATGTTTTCTACCCAAAAGACCCACAAAATAAAAAAAGCTTTAAAATTCTATTTAAAAGGAAAATGAATGGCCTTTTACATTTAAAATGTTTAAATAGGAAGACACTATGTTTCACTCAAACCCATATCCTCTCCAAATGAAATTATTGTTGCCTTCAAATCAGTTTCCCTAATAATTGAAATCTATGATATTAACTCAAAGGATTTCAAGAGTTTTATAAATAAGGCCAATTTCTAAGCCATGAGAAGCAAAAGATTTATATAAAAGAATCACAATTGTATTGAAATCTTTAAATGAGTATTAGCTATTATCTTTTTTATAACAATGAAAGTAAATAAGTCCTTAAAAACTATAATAGTGTGCAAAAAGTTATGAAATTATAAAATTAAAAAATACTTCACCCTGTCAAAAAATAAAGAAAAGCAAAATAATTATAATACAACTACCTAACTGGAAAATATTTTACTAATTCTTCTTTAATTATCAATGTACACATTTATTTAAAATAATTAATAAAACAGAACACTATGTAAAGAAGAAAATAACAAATAAGCATCCACAAATTTCCATCAGCCAAAAATAACCACTGTTAACATTTTGTTCTTTCATTTTTTTCTATGTGTGTATGTATATAAATGAGATATGTATGTGTATGTACATATTTAAAGTGGAATTACATTGTTTTATATTTTGCTTTTTTCATTTGAGACTACATTGTATGTACTTATTTCATAATATTTCTTTAAAAAAATGACATATTGATGCTTGTATAACACTGTCTTTTGGAGCTACCATGTTATATTTGAGCAAGTCCTATTACTGTTCATTTAGATTTTTAAAATTTTGTTACTATTATCATGAACATAAATTTTTGTTTCTCTGATTCTTTCCTTTAGATAAGGTTCTAGAAGTATAATTATACTAGGAAAAAGGATATAAATATTTTCTAGGAAGGAACATTTTCCACTTTTTGTTTATTCCATTCATTCATCATTTAAAATAATATCTATTGAGCATCTACCATGGGCCAGGCACTGTGCCAGATGTTGGAGATAAGTTGTGAAAAGAGAGACACTGAACCTATTTCAC